AAAATACCTAGGATCCAACTTACAAGGGATGTAAAGGACCTCTTCAAGGAGAACTACAAATCACTGCTCAGTGAAATAAAAGAGGACACAAACAAATGGAAGAACATACCATGCTTATGGATAGAAAGAATCAATATCGTGAAAATGGCCATACTGCCCAAAGTAATTTATAGATTCAGTGCCATCCCCATTAAGCTACCAGTGACTTTCTTCACAGAATTGGAAAAAACTGCTTTAAAGTTCATATGGAACCAAAAAAGAGCCCGCATTGCCAAGACAATCCTAAGCCAAAAGAACAAAGCTGGAGGCATCATGCCACCTGACTTCAAACAATACTACGAGGCTACAGTAACCAAAACAGCATGGTACTAGTAGCAAAACAGAGATATAGACCAATGGAACAGAACAGAACCCTCAGAAATAATACCACACATCTATAGCCATCTGATCTTTGACAAGCCTGAAAAAAACAAGAAATGGGGAAAGGATTCCCTATTTAATAAATGGTGCTGGGAAAACTGGCTAGCCATAAGTAGAAAGCTGAAACTGGATCCTTTCCTCACTCCTTATATGAAAATCAATTCAAGATGGATTCGAGACTTAAATGTTAGACCTAAAACCATAAAAACCCTAGAAGAAAACCTAGGTAATACCATTGAGGACATAGGCATGGGTGAGGACTTCATGTCTAAAACACCAAAAGCAATGGCAACAAAAGCCAAAATTGACAAATGGGATCTAATTAAACTAAAGAGATTCTGCACAGCAAAAGAAACTACCATCAGAGTGAATAGGCAACCTACAGAATGGGAGAAAATTTTTACAATCTACTCATCTGACAAAGGACTAATATACAGAACCTACAAAGAACTCAAACAAATTTACAAGAAAAAAACAAATAACCCCATCAAAAAGTGGGCAAAGGATATGAAGAGACAGTTCTCAAAAGAAGACATTTATACATCCAACAGACACGTGAAAAAATGCTCATCATCACTGGCCATCAGAGAAATGCAAATCAAAACCACAATAAGGTACCATCTCACACCAGTTAGAATGGCAATCATTAAAAAATCAGGAAACAACAGGTTCTGGAGAGGATGTGGAGAAATAGGGACACTTTTACACTGTTGGTGGGATTGTAAACTAGTTCAACTATTGTGGAAAACAGTGTGGTGATTCCTCAAGGATCTAGAACTAGAAATACCATTTGACCCATCATCCCATTACTGGGTATATGCCCAAAGGATTATAAATCATGCTGTTATACAGACACACGCACACATATGTTTATTGCGGCACTATTCACAATAGCAAAGACTTGGAATCAACCCAAATGTCCATCAGTGACAGACTGTATGAAGAAAATGTGGCACATATACACCATGGATTACTATGCAGCCATAAAAAAGGATGAGTTTGAGTCCTTTGTAGGGACACGGATGCAGCTGGAAACCATCATTCTCAGCACACTATTGCAAGAACAGAAAACCAAACACCACATGTTCTCACTCATAGGTGGGAACTGAACAATGAGATCACTTGGACACAGGAAGGGGAACATCATACATGAGGTCCTATTGTGGGGAGGGGGGAACATGGCACATGTATACACCAACAGGGCACATGTATACATATGTAACAAATCTGCATGTTGTGCACATGTACCCTAGAACTTAAAGTATAATAATAATAATACAAAAAGACTTTCTATAAGAGCTATAGGATTTATGTCACTAAACGTAAAGAAAAGATTGACAAATTTGACTCTGTTAAATTAAGATCTTTTGTTCATCACAAGGCACCAATAAGGGCGAAAATAAATGTTCAGAGTGGGAGAAAATATTTGTAGCACATGTAACTAAAAAGGGACCCTTGTACCCTTTAGTAATTTGAAGAATATATAAAGGAATCCTCTTTAATTCAATAATAAACAATTCAGATCACTCAGTAGAAAAAAAAATATGGGCAAAGGCTTGAGTTGAGTAGGCACTTTAGTAAAAAGAAGATAACCAAGTGGCCAGCAAACATATGCAAAGTGGCCTGACTTAACTGATCATCAAGAAAATGCAAGAAGTCACAATGAAATAACATTATAAAACACCAAGTAACTAATATTAAGAAAGATAATACTAAATACTGCAAGAATAAGGAGCAATAGGCTCTCCTATATGCTGATGATAGGAATGCAGATGTAAGTATAAATTGTATAATTACTTGAAAAATGGAAAAGTGTTTATTCATTTGAACATGTGCTTACCTTATGACCCACCAATTCCACTCATAGGCATATAATCAGGAGAATGGCATGCATATGTGCATAAAGTCCTACTAAGTGTATATAGCAGCACTACTCACAATCGGGAAAAGGAGAAATCAACCCCAAATGCCAAATACATTGTAATTTATCCATATTATATAGCAATGGAAATAAATGAACCCTAGATATATACAATAATGTGGATGAATCTTATGAACATTATTGTGAGTTACATAAATGAACACAAAGGATTACATACTCTATGATTTCATTTGCACAAAGTTTACAAAAGGCAATACTAATCTGTAACATTAAAGATCAGGAGAGCAATTTCTGGTGGTGATGAAGAACAGAATCATGACAGAGGGTGTGAGGAGGAAATCTGTGATGCTGGTGACATTCTGATCTGTGTCTTAACCTTTGTTAAAGAGTTGTCTGCTTTGGTAGAATTCACTGAGGTATACACTGGGGATTTGCTCAGATTTCTGTGTTATAATTCAATAGTTACAAAAGCAGCTTTGTTTGTACTGCTCCACTCATCCAATGCCCTGCATTATCTCCCTCCTTAATGTCACTGCCCAATGTTTGGAAAGAATAATCTAGACTTGATATTTCTTTCTCTGTTTTAATCTCACTCATCCTCAGCCCATTACACTCTGGCTTCTGCCTTATAACTCTGAAAGTGCTGTCCCCAAAGTCACCAATGACCTCCTAATTGCCAATTGTCTATTTTCAGTCTTCATCCTACTTGACCTCTTCCTGCCACCTGACACTGCTGACCATCCCTCATTTGTAATCCTCTCTTCTCTTGACCTCTTTCTCATACTTCTCCTTGCTTCTGGACTGTTTCAATTAAGTGTCCCTCCTTCCTTGCTTGGTCCTCAAATACTTTTGTTTTCTGGTTACACTCGATTATAGTGCTCTAAAATCAGAATTACAATCTGGCTGAAGACATGTTTACTTCAAAGAGTTTTTAAGAAAATTGTGAATAATATGCCATTGAATGGAAACAATCAGATTTCACATAGAAATTCAGGTTTCTGGCTTCAGGATATTAAAAGGTTTAGCAATTCTGAATCCATCCTTTTTTTTTTTTTTTTTTTTTGAGACGGAGTCTCGCTCTGTCGCCCAGGCTGGAGTGCAGTGGCGCAATCTCGGCTCACTGCAAGCTCCGCCTCCCGGGTTCACGCCATTCTCCTGCCTCAGCCTCCCGAGTAGCTGGGACTACAGGCGCCCACAACCGCGCCTGGCTAATTTTTTGTATTTTTAGTAGAGACGGGGTTTCACCGTGGTCTCGATCTCCTGACCTTGTGATCCGCCCGCCTCGGCCTCCCAAAGTGCTGGGATTACAGGCGTGAGCCACCGCGCCCAGCCCCTGAATCCATCTTATTGAGGAGCCAACAGTCTTCCAGACCCAAATACTAGGAGGTTTTTCATCAACCCAGAAGCCACCCTTACTTCTACATTTTTATAACCTGCCTGGATCTCCTAAAGCACTTACTTTCTCACCACTGTTATACATGTGTCTTGAGAGAAGAGCTTCCCAAACAGTGCATAAGAACCACCTAGGGAACTTGTTACATGTTTCTGTCTCAGCCCCGTGACAGCAATATGATAGATATTGGGTAGGGTCCAGGAAAGGACATTTAAAAAAATCCAAGGTGAATTTGAAGCAGGTTGTCCACAGAAGACACTTGTGATGGTTAATACTGTGTGTCAACTTGATTGGATTGAGGGATGTAAAGTATTGATCCTGGGTGTGCCTGTGAGGGTGTTGCCAAAGGAGATTAACATTTGAGTCAGTGGGCTGGGGAAGGCCGACTCACCCTTAATATGGTGGGCACAGTGTAATCAGCTGCAAAATCAACCAGCAAATATAAAGCCGGCAGAAAAACCTGAAAAGGCAAGATTGGCCCAGCCTCCCAGACTACATCTTTCTACTGTGCTGGATGCCTCCTGCCCTCAAACATCGGACTCCAGGTTCTTCAGTTTTGAGACTTGGACTGACTCTCCTTGCTCCTCAAACTTGCAGATAGCCTATCGTGGGACCTTGTGATCATGTAAATTAATACTTATTAAACTCCTATATATATATAACTCCTATATAGGAGTTTAATAAGTATATATATAACTCCTATATAGGAGTTTAATAAGTATATATATATTATATACTTACTAACCTATTAGTTCTGTCCCTTTAGGGAACCCTGAATAATACAACCCTATTTTATGGAGTTTAATGCCTATGTTGTAGACTTCAACTGTAGTTGTTGATCTCAAGTGTCTCAATGTCTTGCAGTAGATACAGATATATAAACAGGTCATTGTAATAAATATGTCCAATCACCATTCCCAGGCAGGCTGAGGCCTGGTGTTCTGATCTGTCTGAAAGTCTCAATTGGGGAGGGATATCAGCCTTTTGGATGTAGGGTCAAGGAACTGTCTTGTTGACAGAAAAAGATGTTCAATAAATAGAAAGAGTGATATTAAGCCAAAGGGACAGAGACTGAAGAAACCAAGGACAGTGGGAAGTTTTGGAAGAGAAGTATGAGGACAGGGATGTGTGGTAGCTCTTTGGGGTACATGGAGGTAGCTGCCTTTGAAATGAAGCTTTTGGCATTAGCAAAGAGGGAGTAGGTAAAAGTGCTCTCTCTGTGTGGATCATAATATGACATATGTTATAATAGAGTAATACATAGTGAACATAAAATGAGGTTCAATCAGCTTCAGAGTCTAAAAACAGTCTCGCTTAATTCAGTGTACCACTTAGGTTGAAAACTGTAATTTGTTTGTGTCATCAATCTGTGTGACAATGTTGTCCAGCAGCTGTCCAGGTATAGTGATGTATGGGTATAGTGACGTTTGCCTGAGGCCTAGCCCTGCATACCTGTTGGGATTCAACTCTGGGAATGGGCTGGATCAGTAGAGTAAAATGAAAAGGGAGTAAGAAAAGTAAGAGTAATGATGAGTGATTCTAAAGATAGACCATGGTTTAATTGCTCAATAGTGGAGCAAGAAGACTTGATCAAACAGCAATGAAAAGGTCAAGGAACTGGTGGCCTTGAAGAATAGGTGGGTAGAGATGAGAGAAACTGAGGACTAGAAAAAGGGAGGTTATGGTAAAACAGGGAACTTTGGAAGATTGAGACCTCAAAGGCCAATTCAAAAATATTTCAGACCTGTCCATGGGCGTATGTTGCTGAATTTGTGTAGAGTTGAAAGTCGTTAGAATTAAGATGACTAAGAAATTATAAAAGTAACACGGTGAAACCCCGTCTCTACTAAAAAAATACAAAAAACTAGCCGGGCGAGGTGGCGGGCGCCTGTAGTCCCAGCTACTCGGGAGGCTGAGGCAGGAGAATGGCGTGAACCCGGGAGGCGGAGCTTGCAGTGAGCCGAGATCACGCCACTGCACTCCAGCCTGGATGACAGAGTGAGACTCCGTCTCAAAAAAAAAAAAAAAATAAGGTATGGGAAATGAACATATTTTCATATATAATTGTCAGAAACAAGAAGTTGTTGCTCCTAATTTTTTCAATTGCTTATCTCTGCTTTTGAATTAATACACTTATACCCATGAGGTCTTTCTCAATGTAATGAAAATACTATGCATTGTCAAATGTTTAACCCTTAAGAAGACTACGTTGAGCAAAAATTAGTTCAATCTAAATAAGTAAACAACAGCAATAATAACAACATATTATACGGTGGCATTTCATAGATTTCAAGACTTTTTTAGATACATCATATTGTTTGTCAAAAAAAAAAAACCTCACGGGATACACTTGTAAGAAAATATCATTTCTTTTTAATAGACAAATAATATCGAGAAGACTAGCCTAAGGTAACAAATTAAGAGTGACAGAAACAGAACTAGAATTCATGAGTGTCCATTTTATTTTAATATTGTAGATATCTTATAAACTGATAAAGTTATTGTGGAAGGATTAGTTGATACCTTTAATATTGTTACAGGGATTTTTGTTGTTGTTGTTTTCCAATTGTCATTTCAACTTAAAATCCATTTTCTCATTAATGTTTGCTAGAAAATATAGTCATTCAAAGTCATCAAATAATTGACTAAATTTGTTTAGTCATTAGGGGAAAAAACCCCAGAAAACCTAAGACTTTTATTTCTTAGTATTGCATAGCTTATGTTTACAGGGTATGATTATTTAACAGAATTTATAGAAATCTTCATTCTTCACATCTTTTTAGAGTTGTAGAAGAAATACCAGAAGGTACACATGGTGTGTGTGTGTGTGTGTGTATGTGTGTGTGAATTCACATAGGTGTATGGAGCTCTAATTTTTATATAAAACGCAAATACTGAGAGCCACTTTTAAATTTTTTACCTGTATTCAATGGTTCTACCTTCGTTTTTCTGTAGTTTAATACAAGAGGGCTCTTCATTGACTGTTTGTAGAAGGAAGCTTTTATGTAGGGTTGTACATCTCAAGAATAAATCACAATGGCAGAAAAGTCACAATACCTGAGACCTCTGTCTTTCCCTTTCTCTGAGTATACTTTCATGTAATTTCTTGTCTTTATTTTCTATAAATATATTCCAGAGGAATAGAATGTAGGGGGAAGGAGGCAAAATCTCTATTCTGAAAATGGGATTTCAGTGTCGTGCTCAGTACTTCTTGCCCTTATACCTGTAGTTATATCCAAGTGATGTAATATTTTTATAGCTACTGTATTCAACTTTCTCACCTACAGAATGGACCAAATAAGAAAATGTATATGGAAGCATTTTGTAGAATACAAAGCACTTACAAATAATCCATTTGATGTGGAAGCAAGTATATAGACAAGAGTCAGGTTTATCATTTCCTTGCTGTGTTACCCTTGGAAAATTACTTACTCTCTCTGAATCTTAATTGCTCTTCTTCTGCAAAATGTAGATAACATATTATGTCAGACATTGCCCTAATTAACTTGAGTTCAAAAATCAGACCGTGTATAGAATCTATATTTCCATTTATAAATGACAAATTTTAACCTAGAGAACAAAATACTTTACATAGTGTCTGGACTTCGTTACAGTCTGGAACACATTTTCTTTCATATAAAATTTTGCTCGAATTCTATGACCACTAGGTTTTCTTTTTTAAGAGAAGGAGTCTCGCTTTGTCACTCAGGCTGGAGTGCAGTGGCAGGATCATAGCTAACTTCAGCCTTGAACTACTGGGTTCAAGTGATCCTTCTGCTTCAGTGTCCTACATAGCTGGGACTACAGGTGTGAGCCATCATGCTTGGCTTAGATTTTTAAAAAATATGTACAACAATATGCAAATAAGATCCAATATCTGGCTGAATATGTGCAAGGTATATAATGACATTCCTATCAGATTTCTCCCTTTATATGAGTTGCTGGGTTTTGCCTCTACTTACAAGTCAGGTGTTTTTTCAAAGACAACATATACTTCTTGGTAAACATATAAATACCATTAAGAGTTAAATACAAGGAGATTGAGAAACCAGAGTGTATTCAAACTTTGAAGCAACATTTGACCTGCAGAAAACATATGACATTAAGTATGATCAGATATGACTGAAATATATAACTCATTTATCAACATTGGTTGCATAGTTCTTAAAAGGGCAGAAGAATAACCTTTTCTAGCTTACAAATAATTTTCATGTTCAATGGTAGTGACTTTACGTTTCTAAGTCTATCATAGTTGTGTCAGTTACTCCTTAATGTATGAGGTCTCCTTCTTCCAACTCATTCTTCACATTGCTGTCAGAACGATCTATATCAAATGTATCTCCCCTTTTAAATCCTTCAATGGCTCTCCACTGCCCTCAGGATAAAATTCATATTTCATATCAGGGCTCCTGTCTTCCTCTCTACTTTCATCTTCTCTCGGGATTCTATAAATGTTCACTAGTCATAATAACATCCCAGGAACTTACCCGCAGCTTTGTTCTTTTACCAATTCTCTTTCCTCACCCTTCAAAATTCCTGAAAGTATTTCTCTGACCTTTTTCTGTTTTAGTTTCATTTCTTCACATTCTCATGGATATCTTGTACTTATCTTGATCATGCAGTTTACCTTATTGCACCATATTTATTACTTATTTCATTTCATAGAAAATCAATGTCGTAAGTGCAGGAAGCTTTTCTTTTTTTTAGATCCTTGATGTGAGAAATAATGTAGGAAGCACGGTAGGTGCTGGGTAAACATTTGCCAAATGAATGGAAAAACAAGAACAAAAACAAAAACAAAAAAACAAAAACAACAGCACCAACAACCAAAAAACAAAAATGGGCAGTGCCAAACACAGAAATTGGGATAATTTCTTAGAAAAGACAAATACTTGACTAGATTAAATTTACCAACCCCTAGGTTGTTGTTTGGAGATTTAGATAGTGAATACAGTATTCCCTTTGTAGAGAGGACTTAGAAAAATGTCAGGAGAAAAATCAGTGAGAGTTCTCATACTGTCTCTATGTCCAAAGTTAGAGAGGGGCTATGAGTTAGTCAAGGTTATATTTTTGTAGGAGAAAAAGATAACTCTGTAGTGAAGTTGTCTGCCAGTATTTCCTTTCAGCAAGACATAGATCAAGTTTTCCTATTTCTTCTTCTTCCCCACGGCACTGGCTGGCCCACCCCTGAGACTGAACCACATACCAGGTGGCCCTGCTCCTATGAGGAGATAAGCACAGCTTTGCAGGGACAGATGATTCATTTTCTCAAACTTCACCCATTTGTACATTGAGGATAATAGTACAGCCTGCCTCATAGAGATGTTGGGAGGATTAAGGAGTTCAGAGAGATAATAAACATAAAAGAGCATTGAGCAGCTGTTTCAGGATTCAGTCTGAAAAGCAGAGGGAGATGCTCTGTAAATGCTCCTCTCATTCACCTAGCCTTCATCTCCAGCCCACACTCCGAACACGCAGATTCTAAAGGGCAAATGGAAAAAGTGGGGTGCAAGTACTGGGAGCTTTTTCAGGCCTATACTATGGTATCAAGATCAATTTTTGTAGGTTACCCATGTCGCTGGCATTTTCTCAGCACCAACAGCACTAACCCCACAGACATGTGAGCCAGATAAAAAGCCCCTGATGCACCTCTGAAGAAATGTTTATTAGACTGGGAAGCCATGATAACCCCCATAGCAAAGGACATGAAAGCTGCCCCACATTTGATGATCTAAGTTGGGATTATCCATTTTGTGGACTTTTAGGGGCATGTTTTAGAAATCAAACTGCCTTGTACAAAATAGACACTGGAAAAATAACCACTAAATCAATTTAAATAAAATTGAATGGAAGTCCTGTCTTTTCATTCAAATATCCAGACTTTGTGGCTCTTGTTTTTCAAACAATATGGGTAGGTATATGTTTGGGGGCTGCTTGTTAATGTCCATACTATTGTATTGTGGTAATCAATGGCAGCAAACATAATGGACATTTAACTAAAAATCAGCAACAACAGCAAAGAAAATATGTATTAAAATTGTAAAAGCGTTTTGGGAAAGCTGAATTTTAACCATCTGCTAAGTAGTTAGAAATGTTCTGTAGCTATGATAAATATGAAATATCTTTATCTGTATGTGAAGACTAATGGATAGAACAAGAATTCCAATGAGATCTCAGGAAATTACAAACATAATTCATGAAATAAGAAATTTTAATTTTTTGATGAAGATTTGTGTTTTTTCCTTTAAATAAATTCATTAATTTACTCATACTTTTTTTGAAAATAGAAAAGATAGGACCTGACACAACAATGGAACTCTTATGACCTACATTTTAGCTAGGGAAGCTTTCACTTTTTTGTGAATAAAAAAAAAATTGCTCAATATTTCTGATCATATATTAGGATATCTAGCATTTTCCCTTTGAGACACAAGTCTTACAAAACTCATACTTTAATTATTTAGATGCAAATTAAGTAAAATTTGCAATATTTCAGTCCTATACTTGGGGTAGTGCATTTGTACTATGGCTAAGGATTTTCTCAATAAATCCTTATTCATACAACTGGTAGTCTTGGGGTTAGCAAAGCAGCTCACCTTATCTATGGATTAACTGAAAATATATCAGTGTCATTTCAAAAGCTGAAAAACTAATAGTTAATTTGGATCCATTGAATTTCGTGCTACACTCTGATTTGTTCCATTCAGGATTCTGTAATCCTGGCTTGGATAGTATTTAACTGTATTCTTATTTTACTGATTATCTTGCTTCAAGGAATTTTAAAAACACATTCACATTTATGTAACTTTGTGAAGTTTTACACTTTTTTCCCCTTTTCCCAATACTGTAACATTGAATCTCTTTACTTTTCATTTGTTTCCAATGGACTTACTTTACTATTTCTATAAATTAGTGTATCTCCTAATTTCGTATAACTTGTTTTGAAATTTCTAGTCAGTTTGGACCCATCAAGTGGCCCATTTCCAGTAATTTTGATATCTTGATTTAAAAACAAAGTGACCCACGCTTTGTATTTTCTAAGAGCAAGTGCATACTTTGTTTGCATAATTCTACCTTTGATTTACAATACTTTGTTTTTAGTAATTTAACTCCCTCTTTCTCTGCAATTCTGCATCGTCTAAAGGCTAAATGGATACAATTTTGTAGCAACTTCTCAAATGTGTTTCTAATCAGAATGCCACAGCACCTTTCCATTAGACAGATGTTTCTAATGTTATGTTCTTTACTGGAAAGCTCATTATTTTGCATATACCTATAGTGAACTATATTTGCCACATATTAGCACAGACACTTAGATGTTTTCAATCTTGATATTTCCTTTACAATATCTTTCTTTGCTTTTCTAGTCATTTAAAAATTATCTACAAACAAGCAGGGTAAAGGTGAGGTGAATCCTATCTGGTCTAGTTTATATGTTTTGCAAAGAAAGATGAATTCTGAAGAAATGTAATAGAAGGAAAAGAAATAATGATGGAGCTGAATCGATATCTTAGCTCTTTGGCTTTCCCACAGCACCACCGTTTTACTGCATATCATGATAATAACAGCAGTAAAACAGAACGTATGAGAGGAGCTAACAGTTGCATATAGTGACCTTCCCACTAAACATGTGATGATCCCCTCATTGTCTCAAAATTACAGGGGAAGTATATTTATACATTTCAGTGAATTGGCTCAAAAACTTCAATATGACTTTAAATTGTGTTAATGGGGTAACATGAAGGAGATTACTACATCAAATAACCAAATGAATCAAATCAAGTAACATCTTGAAAAGTTAAGAAAAACTGAAGAAAAAGGATGTGGTAAGTTAGTCAGTTTTTAGTTGCAAGTTTTACTTTATTCCAATTAATTGGTAAATACAATTATAGAAATCTATCTAAGGAGTATTACGATCTTGGGGATTTGTAGTTATTGGATGCTATTATAGCCAGGGAATCCAGAGTGACCACCGCCTTCCATGTCAATAATCTTTCCTAGATGAATTACTACCACAAGCCACACTAGTGGAATAAGTGTCAAGGTGACTTTTTCAGCTAATATATTAATAAAGAGTTTCCACTAAACTTGGATTAGGGAGTGTTTCTTGTGCCTAAAGATTTAAGTGAAGACTCCAAGTAAAGACATTCTCTTGACTCCATATTCTGAATTTTAGAGCCAATCTCTGGAAGCAGAGAAAGAGTGAGGGGAAAAGCAAAATCTTTGTATCTAATAAGCCATCCACCTCCATGGAGTGGATGAGAAAGCTTGCCTGTTTGGCCCCCAGTAGCAACTTAGAAGTGGTCCTTCTAAGTACCACTTACCACATGGAGGTGAGAAAATGGGAATTTTCAAGAGAGATAAAGAAAACTACATCAAGCATATCTTTGGGTATTTTAAAGCATGGTGATTCCATATGGCCCATTGATGTTCTGGTAATCTAACAAAATATAAAACTCAATTTTTTCCTCCCAGGAGAACGCTAAGAAGATGGGCAGAAATCAAAGCTTCCTGGTGTGAGGTTGTGGTAGAAGATTCCTCCTGGTTGATCAATGTATAGAAGATGAAATGGATTCCAGTTGTGGGAAAGAAGAAGTAATGCAGTCAAAAGTCCTGAATTGTCTTGAATTATATGTAGAAGCTAGCCAGATAGTAAAAGTGGGGAGGGGAAATTTCAGAGCAAAGGGACAGATTGTCAAAAATTATAGTTTTGTGTTGTTTTATTTTACTGTGGAACTATAAGCTGTTTGATTTGGTTGGATCATATAGTAGAACAATTATGTAACAACCGTTCACTGGGATATCCAAAAGGCATCCTCTCAGACTTGTTTTAGATCCTTTATGATTAGAGAATATAACTCTCTTAAGATTCCTTGAGTTTTCAACAACTTTACTCTGCTACTTTTGTGAGGCATGCATTTTTATCCTGGGTGTAATTTTGGATAAAATATTGCATTTTTTTCTGTCTTAGACCAAGTGTATATAAATAGGGAAAATACAATACTTTATTCATAGGCTTGTTGGAGCATATATGAGATTATGTCTTAAAGTGTGCTCTGTAACCTGGAAAAGGCAATACGAAAGTTACTTATTAAACTGATGAAATTTCTGCCATGTCTTCTATTTTGTGCCGTATAGAAAATTTAAATCTTTAAAACATGATATTCAATAAATGTAAACCATTTATATCACTCACTATATACAACTATTTTTTTCAAATGATTCAACTCAATAAAAGTGATTATCTTTAAGAAAAGCCTTAAAGCACAGATGCCAACTATATGGCATATGTGACTTAATTCCCTACTTGTGCTCTCAAAGACAACATCACTAATTGATAACAACACTTTTCCTCCTTGTCTGGATGGAGCCTCAAAATTCTTCTCAAAATTCTAAGCAGCCAAAACCAATAGGGAAGAGTTGGCTCTTGAAATCTATTATTATTTCCCTTAGCCAAATGAAATTTTGATGGGATTATAGCCAGAAGAGGGAAGAGGGTATTTGTCTTCCCTGCAAGCCATCATTGTAAACAACTTTGCTATTCAGTAAAGGAAAAAAAGTATTGTGAGGTGTTTTCTTAGCAATGCAACAAGATACACACTTTTTCAAAAATGGGTTTTTTTTAAAAAATCTGATTATTGATTGGTTAATTTCCTTCAAAATTCAACATGGTTTCATATCAATTGTGTTAGTTTTAAAGTGATGACTATGAAATGAATAGGTTTGTGCCAAATAATAAATATAAATTCTAGTAAAAATATCCCTAAGCAGATCAGAACAATTTCGTGAATGAAGTCTAAACTATAGGCAGATACATTAACATGCTATAACCATGAACACACACACACACACACACACACACACACACTTACCGAGTCATTGTCAGATACTATTTTCATGCATCATTTTGATGCTGCTTAATGCAGGATATATTGAAGAGCAATTATCTGGTCTTTTCAAAAGTACCCAGTAAATAACGTTGTGCCCAATTTCACTTTTTTAAGGATAAAAAACTGGGGACTTTGAAACATATAGTGGTTGTCTTTTGAGTGTGTAGTTATATAAACAAAAATCCTTTTTAAATTGGTCAGTACTTGTTAACTGATATACTCAGACGGATGAGCAGTGCCAGGGAAATAAGACACAGCACAAGGAAGAAAGGTGTTTGCTTCCTGCAGAGGTTTTGCTACGGAGGAGCTAACAATAAGGATAAGACCTAAATGGATATTTTTACTCATTCTAACTTGGAGCTTACCCTCCAGTGGACCAGCACAAATGTGCCCAGTGAGCCACAAGATACTCCGTCAGTCCCTCTGTCCACTGAGACCTGGGATTGTGGGATTTTTTTTTTCTCTCTTCATCAGGAAGGTTAATCTCATTTTGCTCTGCCTCCTGAAGAATCATTACTTTTGCTGATCCAGGTGACAGAATTATGGCACTAATGTATAAGGAAATGGATTGTTTTAAGATCAACATTAAAAAAATTCTACTTACTGCCACCTTGTGTGTGAATGTAAGTTTTCCAAGAAGCTATATTTGTATGACTGTGTGGGTGAAAAGGGCTGTTCTGTCTGCATTTCAACCAATATATGATATAACACTGGATTCAGATACATTCTATAATGAAGGGCACATTTGAGATTTCTCTTCATCTGTGGCCCAATAAGTGGATACACTTGCTCCAGTGACCTAATTCTTTCAGTTTTATTCATTTAATATATGCAGGCCAGAGAGCTAGAGACCCAGCCCAGCAAGATGCCAGTTTTTCTTGGACTAGATGATAGGAGCAAGACAGAGGACTGATAACCCTGCACACTCAGACGTCCTGGGGGGAGATGTCAGATCAGATCAGATCGAAAAGGCAACCTGATAGAAATAGAAGAGAAAAATATTCTTATTCTAATCTCTGTCAAGCATTCATCAGTTCTTTCAATTCTTTGTAGCCAGTATACTGATGAAAGTCACATGTAGCCATTTATTTCTTTAAAGTATGCAACTCCAGCCTGGGCGACAGAGTGAGACTCTGTCTCAAAAAAAAAAAAAAAAAAAAAGAATGAGTAGGGTTGGGCTTTTGAAGAAATTTTACAGAGACATTATTCCACGATTTGGGGATGTAAATTTAACTCTAGTCAGTCATTTCCCCATGGTAACAAAAGAGGAAGTAGTAGGGACATTGTAAGTTAAACATTTGAGCATAAGAATTGGACAGAGAAACTTAATCAAGTCCTATCTCTTGTACTCACTAGTTACGTAGTTCTAAATTCTTGGTCTAGCAAAAGTCACTAGCACCATTGGAAAAGAAAGTGAGACAATGCTTGCAATGTGTTATGTTTCTGTATGAATACATTTTCTGCAACTATCTTACAAATAATACATTTAGAACATTTATCTTTTAAGCATTCAATCAACCAAACACACTCTCAACACCCTTCCCCACCTCCCCCCTCCACAAACATATTGAGTGTCTACTATGATCCATGCACAGGACCATAAAAATTGAAAAAAAAAATTATCACATTCTCAGACATCTAAACTTAAATGTCTTCACTTACTTATCAAGACTTTTACAATGCCAGCAGCTTGCCTTCAATGGATAAAGGGTAATGCATATAACAATGGCACAAGGCATTGACACGACGACAATTAGGCAACCTAAAGCTTCTCAACAAACAACCAGCAGAGAGTCTAGTGTTCAAGGAGAAAGTAAGTTTTCTAGGTGTCAGCTTCTTGAGGCTGTTGCTCCAAAGGAGGTCATTGCCCAGAGTAATGAGAACAGTTGGGAATCTCTCCCATTCTCTATTGCCTGAAGGTCAACAGCCATCTGGTCTAACCCATGCTGGCTTTCCAATTGAGAGTGAAAACAGATTTTCTATCATGTCCAAGAACAAAGGGCATGGCTGAATCGTGGAAAATGTAGATGACACAGTTGCCTTCATCCATACAGAATGTGTATCTCAATTTTCTGAAAATGCATTCTTGGGCAAAGTATCCTATGATTAAAACGCACAAGTAAAGGGACATCAGAAAGAAGGGAAAGATGAGCTATGAACTGGAATCCTCTTGGAATGATAAGGTGATTACAAAAATGAGAAGATCTTCATCGGGTAATAAATCAAAGTGCTATCTTTCAAACATAGAGAATAAATTCACCAGTCAATGAGTGTCCTACCCTTTGCAAATCATAAAACAGAAGTTATACCCTTTAGTACTGTGTACTCTGAACCTTTTCTCTGCATTTTCCTAAAAGAAAGCTGACATCCTGATCAGGGCACTGACCAACAGATTAAAATCACTGACTATGAGTGTCCTTTTATTTTCTTGGCAGGCCACATGCTGATCCAGCAGTAAACTGTCTTTTCCCCTTTCCCAGACACTGCTTAATAAATATCACCTGGTGATAAAACTGTCCAATTTTCTTATAACAAAAACTACAAACATGAGGAGAAAATGCTGAGCTTGGGTAGGATATCTTATCTCTGTTAAATATTACAGACACATTACAAGGTCCTGTGCACTTGGTAAAATGTTTAAAATAAATATCCAAGTTCCAAATATCTTGTTCTTTTCAATTTATTTGAGGGATATTAAATATGTTACAATTAATTTCATATTCTGTATTAAGACATTTCATTTATATGCTCAAAACTACAGGGGTCTCCGTGACAGCCCTAAGTAATTCCATTTTGCAGTACAAGGGACATTGTTAATGTTCAAAGATTAGAAAATACACCCTCTTTGATCTTTGCTAGTTATTGAAAGACAGCATTCAGATACTAGGAATGTATTTTTCTTCAAATAGTTGATTTCTCCAAGAGGAAGATGTGATTAAATAGAATACACCAGACTTAATAAGACAACAAAAGAACTGACAATTTCTTTTCAGCTTTCTTCATTCTAGCATCTGAAAGCTGTTTGCCTTGGGATTTAGAAATTGAGAGAACAAGTTGCTGACCCTAGAACTGAACAGCCACATTAGTTATTTTGGTGATTCCAGTGTTGAAATGGAACATGTGCCAGAGGCAGGCACACTTTGCAGAGTGGGCATTTTGTACAGTTTATTTTAATTGATGGTTCAGCATATTGGTTGGGCATCTGTACGGATGCTTTAAAAATGAAAGAAATTATTGGTTGCTTTCTAGTAATGAGAATGGAGATTTAGAAAGGAATCTGCCTTTCTCTGATACTACCAGCATATTTTTGAGAGTCTCTCAGTGTTTGCAACCTTTCTTTGTAACCCTTGATTCATTTAATCATTCATTCTGCAAATATTTATTAATAGTCTGCTTTTGCCAGATGTCATGGTAGGCACTAGAGTTTTGCTTATGTCCATGACCTCTTTTAATGGAGATTATAGTTCATCGGTAAGGATTTATTGCTAGGGATTTGGAGCCCTAAGCAAAAGTATTCACAAGTCTAATCTATTATTCCCTTTAAAATAAGCTTTTGCAAATTTAAAAATACCTTCCTATGTGTGCCTGTGAAAAAGGAATGGGAGATAGCTGAGGCCAGGCTCTCTGTCACGAGCTGTGCCATGTTTTGCTAGATCATTGCTGCAGTCTCAGTCTGCTCTGCAGGAATAGACCATCTGAGGACACAGCAGGAAGTTGGCCATCTGCAATTCAAAGAGAGAAGCCTCTGGAGAAAATAAACCTGCAGGCACCTTGATCTTGGACTTTTAGCCTCCAGAGCTGTGAGAAAATAAATGTTTGTTGTTTAAGCCACCCAGTCTGTGGTATTTTGTTATGGCAAACTAATGTAGCAGACTAATACAGAGAAGGTTGAAAAATGGAGAACATTTTTTTTTGGAGCCTATTACAATAGATGAAAATTCATGCCCTCTTACACCCTAAGTTTCAGAGTAAGGAAATAAATACTACATGTAATGAAGTTAGGAAATTATACAATATGTGAGAAGGTAATAAATGCTATGGAAGAAACTCGAAGGTTGTATAGAACTAGTAGATCAGCAGTGCTGGGGACAGAGGGGTACAGGTTTTAGTACCAAACAGGAAGAGCGGGGAGGCATCATTAAGAAGGTACCAACTGTGCACTCAGAATAGAGGAGACTGTCTGGGAGAGAGCACTACAGGCAGAGATAGGAAGAGTATA